AGCGTCCTCTGACTCGTTTCATGACAGTTGTGGCAGTGTGGCATGATGACTCTATGGCGCTCCGACACTTCAAGCTGCTGAGACACCCTTCTCAACCACCTTCGGGGTGAACCGGTGGTTGAGAGGGCCGATTTCACAGCCGGTGATGCATCGCCAGGGGCTGACGTAGCTTGTTGCAGTGAAGTGGCGGTTCATCGGACGTCACTGGAGTTGCGAGGACGATAATGAGCTCCCTCTACTGACGACTCAGTGCGGATAGAGCTCCCACCGGAATCAATATGTTGCAAGCCGAGCTGCTCAGATGAGTGATGCGTCGGCTTGGTTTCGTGTTGGCTGCTGCTTGGATGCTGGTGTCGGTAGCGTCCTCTGACTCGTTTCACGGCAGTTGCGGCAGTGTGGCATGATGACTCCATGGCGCTCCGACACTTCAAGCTGCTGAGACACCCTTCTCAACCACCTTCGGGGTGAACCGGTGGTTGAGAGGGCCGATTTCACAGCCAGTGATGCACCGCCAGGGGCTGACACTGTGAACTGGTTTCGGCAGGCCCTTTCCACCTGCATGCCCGACGTCACAGGGAACCTTCATGCTTTTTTCAGTCTTTACACGAGGTCTTCGCACGTAAGATGTGTGCAGTGCTCAGTGGAATATGTCCAGTCCGCCCACCGTCATGAGCTGCAGGGTCGAGATCGAGAAGCGAGCCGCAGATGAGCGGGAGCGTCGCAGGCAACCTGGTGGCGCTTCCGAAGAGGGTGTCTTTCAGTTGCAAACAAACATGTCGCGCTTGCAGTAGGATTCAGATGTTGGGGGAAACTGTTCCGCCGCAGTCCTTACGATTCTAGCCCAAAACTTCGCAAAGTCGAGTGTAGACCCTGAGAGAGTGGCTGTCCAGACTGGAGAGCTCTGTGTTAGGGTCTGACGAACGGCGATCCCTAGCAGGTTGAGAACTGCACAAGCTCCGGCAGAGCTTCTCGCAGCAATCCAGGCGAGCGCGAACCGAGGCTTTGTAAGTGCAGTGTCAATGCTACACCAGGCCTTGGACGAGGACGCTGTGCGGGCACTGCTCATCGAAGCCTCCGCCTCTAACTTTCCGACGCGATTGCAGACTGCCGCAGCATGAGCATGTTGTCGGTGAGTGTCGCATTGCTGGGTGAAAACTCAGCGTGGCTTGGCTGTGTCCAGACTCCTGCAAGGCCGTGCTTGCTCCGCCCGATGCCTCTGTTGCAGAAGGTTTTCTAGCTGAGCCCGGAACTAAATCGAAGAGCGGTGGCAGCAGCGGAGGGCACTGAGCACGCATTGTGCGTTGCCAGGTCTGAGGAAAGAAGGACCCGAGCCGAGCGGGACGGAGCCTTGCTTGAGCTGGAGCCCCAGACACGGGAGAAAAGGCATGTGCACGGTGCAGTCTCGTCAGATTCGGCTTCCCCGACCTCGATCGACGAGTCTCCTCCTGAGTGTTTGATGACGGATGAATTGCCAAAGAACGAGTTCTGCAGAGGCGTTCTTCCAGGCTTCGGTCGCCGTGGCATCCTTTCTCACGGACCAGTGCCCTCGAGTTTGGCATTCCCCGAGTCTGAGGATTCGCAGTCATCCTGCCACGCTGGAAGCTTTTCGGCTCGTTCATTTGATACGAACAAGTAAAGTGAGAAGCATTGAAGTGTGCCGAAGCCCGTCGAAGCCTCGGAGCGTGAAGGAGATATCGGATCCCCACTCAGCTAGCTGACAGCTTAAGCTCTGAGCAGTGCCGGCCATGATTGTGCTGGGTCTGTTGTGGGCTCCACTCTTGGTTGGGACGACGGCCAGTGACGGTGCATGTGACCTGTCGCCGTGGCTACAGGAAGAGCCGGTCGACAAGGGATACCATGTCATATGTGTTGGGGACGGCGAGGGTACCGTCTATCTTAATGCATCAGCGGCCTCTCGGAGGGTTCTGAAATTTGACGATGGCCTCCCGGAGCTCTTGGAAGAGTTGCTGCAGATTAAGACGCACTTGGGTTTCAAACCTCACTCGAAGAGGTCTTCGGCGCTGCAATGGAAGAAGCAAAGCTGGGCCTTCTTTACCGTGGCCGGAGAGCGCTGGACCCCAGAGGAGGCCTCGTTAAAGATACACGATTACAGGGGCGTCTTGCTTGTCTTCGAAGGCGGGACATGGCGATGGCCCGGCATCCGTGTAGGTTATGAGCGACTTCTGCAGCCAGACGTGATCTTGAGAACGGTGGCTCTCAAGCCCGCTTTGTTCGAGCTAGTCCTGCGGGATGCCGAAGGTTCAATCCCAGAGCTTCTTTCGGACGTCGTGCAAATGTCAGAGAAGCGGCTGCAGCGGTCCCTGACGGAAGAAGAAGCCTCTGAGGTTCGAACCAGCCAGCAGCACTGGCTCAGCTACAACTCGCACCCGAAGCTGAAACAACTGAAGAAGTTTACGTCAGAAGTCCTTCGGCTGCCTAGCTCTTACTTCGAAAGGGACTTACAGGTGCTGCGCTACACGAAAGGGCAGCTTTATGATGCCCACCGGGACTACTGGGATCCTCGGGAGTTCCCAGACGAGGAGCGCTTCGTCCACCCTGTTTCCAAAACCTGGAACATGCGCTTCGCCACGTTGCTGTGGTATTTGCGTGATGCACCGCATGGAGGCGAGACATGGTTCCCCAGGGCGCATGGTGGGCCGATCCCTTACGGCGAGTGGACGGCCTGTGATGACCGGGGCGTCAAGATGTCTGGAAGGAACGGCACAGTTGCGATCCTGTTCTACTCCTTGTACTCTAGCGGGGACATCGACACCTATAGCTGGCACTGTGGCTGTCCCGTGGGAGAAGGGACGAAATGGGCAGCAAATAGTTGGATCTGGAATCAGCCGCAGAGCCCACCCTATGCAAAGAGCAGGTCTGGGCGCTCGGTCGTAGAATTCATCCGCGACGAGCTCTAAACAGATGAAGACAAAGATGAACTACACTTGGGCAGTCATGTGAAGGCCGATAGCTTGCAGCAGTTCATCCTGCCGTGGTCGTGTTGGTCTTTGGCAAATCCACCTTGATGGTTCGGTGTAGGCTGATATGATATCCACATGATGCCGGCAGCAGTTTCCCAGATGCCCCGTGCTTGACTCCAGGCTCTCTCCTGTTCTAGGATGCTTTCGTGATCTCGTAGCTGCACCGAAGTGTCAAAGGTACTGCATGCACGAGGGCAGCGATTTCAAGCTGAAGGCGCCTCTGAGTTTCCAGGGAGTGGCAACCCCCGGCCCGGCTCAGCATATGGCAGCGTCGTTGCACGTCGGATGGGACAGGTCATCAAGGCGGCCAACTCCGTTTTGGTGACGTTTAGAAGCGCTGAATATGCGCAGGACGGACATACTTGGAGATGTGCGGCGGCGAGTCGAGAATACTCACCTTCTGCCATGTGTAGAGGCCGTGCGAGAGACGACTGTTGACTTAGCCAAACAGCCTCGACCTCGTCTGCGGGCGGATTTGTGTCGCACAACCTGTGAATTGTTAGTATGCCTCAGGCTCGACGCCGGCAGCACAAGCGCCAGGGGACTCGGTGTATTCGGCGGCGTCTGATGGCGTCTGCATCCGTGCGGCCAGGCCCAAGCTCTGCTGCGAGCAGAGCTCCGAAGTTCTCATGGCCCCTTCAGCGCAGCTGACGAGCTTCTCTCGAGCCTTCGACAGGATGCCGAGGACCCGCCCAATTGTCGAAAAGGAAACGTCGAAGTCCCGAAAGACGCCCTTGAGTCACACCATGTCGCACGATGTCGCGTCTGAGGATATCATGAGAGATCTTGCCTAAAGAGCTTTGGTCTGTCGATCTCGGGCAGGCGCTGCGCGAGAAGCCTTTGCGGGCTGAGCCAAGCCAGCACGCTTTGTTCCTGATCGCAAAGCACCGTCCCACGGAGTGCCAGGTGCGAGGAAGCCGTGCGGAGTGCCGCCGCTCGTGCTCGCGGCGAACTGCCGAGCACGAGGCGCGCGTCGGACTGGGACCGGGTGCGGTGCCTCCCAACACGGCTCTCCGTTTGAGCTGAGGACGGGGCCTGGAAAGAAACTGCCAAGCTCGCTTTCTCGAGCTTCGACGGAGGGTCCGGCCTGGAACTCGGGTCCCGGGCGCCCATGTCAGCGAGCGTCCGCTGTTTATGCCAGATTACTGCTCAGGTTGCAGCGACAGTTGCAAAGGAGTGGTTGCAACGGATTCGCGCCAGATTCAGCAAGAGCTTGGCGCACAAAGAGCACTTAAAAGACGTGCAATCCAGAACGCACTTGACAGGAGCAACAGCAGCAGCAGCAGCGTCCTCCACCTGCTGCCTCAATGCCGCGGCCCGATGCTTGAGAGCAGCAAGTGCTTAAAGAAGATCCAGCGGAAGAACTTGCCTCTACTCTACTTGTAGCATGATTCGTTTGGACCCATCCTGCACTGGAGGCCTGATCAACAGAGTCACTTCTCAGGCCGGCCCGAATGCTGCTTCTCACCAGTTCCGATCGCCTGTTCCGGAGGTGGAAGTCTACCGAGTCGAACATCGACAGTGGGAGCCTGTGGCAGCAAAGGACAAGAACCACTGCGTCCCTTGTCAACAGCAAGTTGATACCAGCAGTCGGACAGGAAAAGGAGGTGGCAAAGCTTCACCAGGCACAGGCAATTCCGGGCCGGCCATGCCTAATGTGTTTTGCACCTCAGCGGTGTCGGAAGCTGTAAAGGTCTTGTAGGATTGCAGATGCGACTGACTTCAACATGCACACCCTAATCGAGCGAAGGTGTTGGGTGTTTTTGGCTCCAAACAAGATGGGGTGATTGACTGTTACTGCTAATCTCTCACATGGACATGCACGCCTAGACCTTTACTGAACCATGGAAGCATAACAGTCCGCTTGTTACAGAGGTGCCGGTGCTCCGAAGGAGGATGTGCGCCACACAGATTGACGGACGCTCAGGATGATGGGGTGCGAGATGCTCTCGGCTTTGAGGTGCTGGTGCTTCCGCGCGGCGCCGCCTTTGAGCTTCAACGAGACACAGCTGCCGACCCAGCCGAGAGCTGCAAGTGCGCTCCGGATTGAGTGCAGGGAGACCTGCATGGCTTGCAGACATGGACGGTAGACGGCGCACACCCGAGGCGAGGGCAAAGACCTTCCGAGACGACCTCAGGTGCCCCGTTGCATGTGGATAAAGCATGCGGACTGCCGACAGTCGTCTTCGATGCAGCACTGGGTACAAAACACCAAAAGACTGAACACCATCCCGAAAAGGCGCCAAAGTGCAGGGTAAACGAAATAAGTAGTGCATAGCAGATGCAGGGAAAGACCGCTCGTGGGAGAAAAGCCCTGCATCCCGAAACAAGGCGGTAGGTTACAGGAGGCCGCGCGGACTGCCATTCCGCTTCCTCCGCAGGACCTTCGCGCGGAACTTCCGCATCCAAGCCGAGCTTGTTGGCTTGGACAAGGTCCAGATGAGGCCCATTGGCAAGCGCCTGAGAATATCATGATCTGTGATGTGACTGCTTAGGCTTCGATGTTGAATTTGCCCAGGCTTCGTCCACCAAGACACGCGAGAAAAGGCTCGAGCAGAGCAGCGAGCTGAGAGTTTGAGCACCGACGCTGACTCGGCACACACTTTTCCCCCCTGTTCTCTTCAGCCAACGAGGCTCCAAAACCTTCTCAACTATCACTTCCCGCTGGGAGCTCAAGCTTCCAGCTCTGCCTGCGTAAGCCTTGTTTTCCCAGGTCCGCCGTTTCCAGAGAGCTTCGGCCTCAGCGACGGGAGCTTTGCCCGGAGCGGCCGAACATGGCTGAGAACGCTGAAGGCGGGAGGTGCGGCTTCGAGTCGCCGAGTCTCCGCCTCGGAGATGCCACATCCAAACTCAGGGGGCTAATTTTGCCCAGACGGGGAAGTGAGGTAAGAAGCCTTCACCTTGGGTCATCTTGGGTCATGACATGAAGTTTGAGGGTCTCAGAGCAGCGCAGACCCCTCGCATCCATCGCATTCATTGCGGCTCGCTGCAGAGGTCAGGAGCCGGTATCGACCTGACGCCCAGCGATCGCGGGTTTCAGGTCGACCACGTGGAGGAGTGCCGAGTTCGTGGAGTGCGCGCTGAATCGAGCCGCTCCTCCAGGACTTCCCGGGACAGGACTTCTCGGCTGGGGAGGTGGGGGGGACATGGGGGGACCCCTGTTCCACACCTGGGCTTTTTTCTTCGTCCCGGTGACCTGCTCCCGAGATCATCGTGGCCATCAACGGCCACAAGCTCTCTGGTCTCTCTGAAGACGAAGTCGCCGCATCCTGAGAGCTTGTCAACATGCTATGCAGTGCTGCTTGGAGTCCGAGGAAGAGACTTTCGGAGCTCACTTTGGGGACGGTGCCACCCCCTGGAAGCCCGTGAACAGAGGTGAAATCCATGCATCCCCGTGGCACTTCAAGGTGCTGTCCTCATGATTGGAAGCGCCTGAGTTAAAGGTGCCATCCTTAAACGGGAGTCTGTCGTTTATTATCGTGCTACATGATGCCACAGAACGCAGGGGAGGAGGTCCTCCTGCCCTTTTCACCGTAGTGGGAGGCTGCAGTACGAATGCTTCCTCACCTAGGCCGCAGACCGCAGGTGACATGACCGAACGATAGCTGACATGAGCAGTTTTGTGTGCCTAGACAGAGCTATCTTCGGCTCTGCTTCTGGAGCCCGGTTGTGGCATTGTCCTAGGCACACGATGTACATAGTCGCTTGACGTCAGGATCGAAACTCTATTTTTCAGTTTCACCTTGTCCCAAGAGCTTCGGAGCTCTGTTGACGTTGAAACTGTACCTGCTGCATGCTGTACATGCAACGCGCCTTGCACCTTCACCCCGTCCTCTTGCGCATGGGTTACCTTTCTGTATTCACCATTCCTCAAGCATTCTGCTTTCACCCAGCCGCAAAAGTCTGACGAGCAATACAGATTGTGCAGTGGTGCAGATGCAGACATGGTGATATTATTATGCTCCCTAAGGCAGTCACAGTCACATTGGCCATGTACTGTGCGATCCAGCCGACTCAGCTATCTTTCCTTCCCCATCGGGCCATATCAAGCTGCTTGGGCCTGCTGCTTCTCCACGCGCACAAGGCACTTCGTGTGTGTCTGATGTCAGCCACAGCCTGCGACCGTGTGCCTTGTGGGAGCCCTTGGTCTGCGGAGGCCACGGGCCATGGAAGCACCGAGCGGATATCCGGATGTCCCACCTTCGCGTCCCTCTGCCGCCGCCGGCCGGGACCTTCAGAGATCCCGTGCCTCCTCACTTATTCCCGTTTGCGTCCAGCAGACTTCGAGTCTGGCAGGCATGGCTGCTGCAGACCCCGTGCTTGGCTTAAAGTGTGGAGGATCCCCGTTGGAGACTGCCTGCCTGTACTGCTGAGGCATTGGGGATGGCAGCAATCATGGAAAATCAGGTGCTCGAAGCCTACAGTTGTTCCAGTCGACACCGATTCCGTTTGACATGAACAGGTGGAAGAAATGCGCAAGCTGCTCAGCAGATTCAAGGTGCTTTCAGCCAGGTCTCTTGAGAGATTATGAAGCCAAAGACGTGCCAGGTATGTGCAAACCCGGCAGCTGCAGGTGTCGGAGCAGATGTGGATGCAGGTCCCCGGCTTCACCGCGGAAGCGAAGTCTGTTGCGCTGACATGCTATTATAATAGGGGAGCCGTGCCGAACACGTGAGAGTTCAATTCTGGTAAGCTGGCCGTTCAACTCTTTGCTTCACGTGAAACTTAGGAGTCAGAAAGCTAAAGAGTGGGCCCATACCAGCCGAATCCTTGAACAGTGCGGACCCGCGTTGCGGCCCGCCAGTGTTTTCCTTGCTCTGGTCTCAACTCAACTGTGCATGAAGACTGCGGCCCCTGGCATCTTGAGCAGTAGCAGGGCAAGCGCAGAGATCTGAAGGCGCTTACAAACGGCCTTTCATCTTACCGTGACAGCCCTTCAAACCTGAACAGAGCCGGGTACGAAAGATCGTCGTGACTCTGATGCCCGTCATCCTGCTTCAGGTGCCCTTCCAGGGCATGCAGACATCCTGATCTTTGGGCCCAGTGGTAGGTGGGAAACACCATCATTGCTACAATCTGCTTCTCATCCCTTTCTGTGCCAGTGGGAAGAGCAGCCTTATCCGCACCTTTTACATGGCGCTGCACAAGACGCAGCAGGCACATCCAGACTTAGGGCATCGCAGCGCATGAGGCGGACTGACTGGCATGCAGGTTCCTGCAGACTTTGCGGACAGGCCTCCACACTGACCGTGGGGAATTTCTGCATGTTCCCTCACTGCTGACTTCATGGACGCTGGGTGGCCTGCGTGTGACCAGGATAATTGTCAAGGACACAGCCATGAACGAAGGCACTCTCAAATACATTTCTGCCGCAGATGCCCCAGAGTGAACCCGAAAGCCAGGGAAAGCACCTCAAGTGGATGTGAGGTCATCAAGCCGGCGAAACTAGACCACCGAGGTAACATCCTCTCGCCGAGAGCTTGGAAGCATCGACAATGGCTCTGATATTTTTGCCACCGCAAGCCGCAAGCCACCTCTTGTCGCACTTTCCAGGTCCTCCATCTTGTGTCACGACACTCGAGGCCAGATTTGGATGGACGAGCCCCGGCACAGAAACAGTAGAGAGTGGGAAGTCACGGGAAAGGCATCAGCTGGACGTCTTTCAGCTCTGACTCCGGTTTCCGGCTGTAGTGGCAGCATGTTGGGTTGTCGAGGAACGAGAGCAGAAGCAGCTCAGCGTCATCATGGTTACGTCCTCATTCCATCTGCTGCACCGTGCGCGTCGCCGCCTGCTCTGACCCGGGCTTCTCTTTTGCAGGATGGGAACGTGAAGGACGACTCCATGGTGCAGCAACGAAACTACAGGCCTTGCATAAACGCCACGGAAGTGCCTCGTGCTGTGGACTCCCGTCTTTCCGGCAGGTATGCGAGATTGCTCTGGGAATTCTGGAAGAGAGACTCCGAGCTCTTCCCTCCCGAGGTCGCTGTGAGCCCAAGCCCAGAGACAGAGCCGTCTCAGTCGTCTGCCAGATTCTGGCCAACAAGCGGGGTGTGCACAACCAGCCCCACGCCGTCCCGGTCTTACTGGATCTTCGTGGACGTAGGCATCGTGGGCCCGTCTCACAGTCTCTCCAGGTTCTCTTCGTCTTCGATGGGTCCATGGAGGAGATACCGGACGGGGAAGAGGCCAGGAAGCCTGGCAGCAGATCTGGCCGTGCCGTCTATGTCCTTGCTGTCCAACAGGAGACAAAGTTCTACAGGGAGATCATCCAAATGTGCCGCGAGAAAGGCTACACCAACCCACAGGCCTCCAAGCATCAAAGATGGACACCTCTCGTCTTGCGGTGTGTGTCCAGCTGCTCATTTGCCTGATGGTTCGCAGATGTTCGCAGATGGAGGGAAGAGAAAAATCGTCGATGCAGCATGCATGACACCGAAGAGCTTGACTCACTAGCAGGATGCTCTGCCCATAGCCGTTATAGGACATGAAGGCAGCATCCGGAGTTGAGTATGAGCCACGAGGCATAGCCATGGATGCATGGGATCCCCTCGCAGATCCGGCTGATGTTGACGCACCGGGCAAGGCGGACCCGACAAAGGTCATTGCTTCAGTTGGCCTGGCCCTTAAGTTCTTGTGTTTTGATTCCCATGGCAACACGCTGGGCGTCTTACGTCTAGGGGTAAAGAGGTTGGGGCTGGCTGGGGGGCACCAATCCCGATCCGCTGCTCACTCGGTGGTGCGGCGATTTCGGAGCAACATCGCGAAATGCAGAGACTCCCGGAGCGGACCGGGACGCTGTCACGGAAAGTATAGGACTATCGTGCTCGGGGCGCAGCGCTGCTCCAGTGCTTCTCGGGTGGTTGGATGTGGCTGCCCATCGCCGTCGTACGGGCAATTTCCAACATCGGAACTCTGGCCACCGCGCCTTCGAGATAAATTCTTTGAGCACGTTCGTCCTGGGAGTGTTCCCACTTTTCTGCCTCGTGGCGCTTCTGCCACAGTCCCCTGCGTTGCATCTTTTTGGTTCAGAACTTGCGGCTTGGACTGCCACTGTGTGTGGCCTTTCACTGTCAGGAGTTGATGCCGGCACTGTCATAGTGTTTTGAAGAGAAGGAGCTGTCTTGTTTCTGCGTTATCGACGTGCTGTCAGTCCGAGGTGACTGCAGCGCAGTGGATGATGCTTCGATGTTGGCTATCGCCGGTCCCTTGGGCCGTGAGGCTGGGGTTTTTTCTGCTTCGGTATCCAGGAGGTCCAGGCTACCAAACCGCTGTCGCCAGGCGGTGTTGTCCTCGACCCGCATGCGAGACGTCGAGGACTGGATTTCGCGGGCAGAGGCTGGAGACAGAAACACATAGAAGCACGCTGCATCGTTCAACTCATGTCAAGGCAATTCCTCGCCTCGCCGCTCCGCGCCTCTTCTCGCCGATCTGTCTCTGCGCTCTGTGCAGGCCAGCGGCCTCGATGTAGAGCAGATCCTTCCGGCAAGGCTGGCCGGTCGCGCTCGCCCCACATGTGCAGAATTTTGTCTAAAGCCGCCTGCAGGCAACACCTGAGGTCCTTGGCCGTGGCCTGACTGCTGCGCCGGACCTGCCTGCAAAGCCTTTGCCGGCACGAGGCCAAGCAGAATCCGACGATCCACTGGGAAAAGCGAGAGAGCCAAGCGACGGCAGACCTTGTGGATGGCACAAAGGCTCCCCGAGGCTCGCACTCTTTGTAAAGGCCCTGAACGTGGAAAGTGAAGGCTGGCGAAGCCGAAGCGCGACTGCAAGCTGCCGAGCAGCAGGCACGGATTGAAGCATAGAGAAACTTATGCACATGCTAAGGTTGCCATAAGTTGCGATGTACAAGGGCTCGCATGCAAGGGCCAGTCGCTACTTCTTATGTCTTTTGCTTGCAAGATCTGCAGGCTTGGATCTACATGACCCATCATGACCCATTCTACAGAAACGGGCTGGGCTGTCTGCTATGTGTGTTCAAGCACCCCAGCACGGCTGGAAGGTGCGGCATCCCATGGGGTCGACCGTTGTTTTCCCGCATTTGCAAAGGAGGGATAACCGTACTTTCCTACAGTTGCCATGCAGTGATCGCCAAAGCTTCCGGAAGGTGAATCTGCTGCTCAGTGACAAGTCAAGCTTGTCTGCAGCAGGCTTGCTTGACTCTGCACCGGTCTCCGCTGCGCTTTGCTCTAGCCGCTGCCGCCGGTTGCGCAGGGAACAAGGCCATGCAGGACGCCGCAGAGCAGCTCAAGGCCAGCTTTCTGCACATCGTCTGCGGCCGTTTCTGTCCTGGCACGAAATGCGAAGTCGCAGGAAGCCATAGGAGAGGGCTACAGTGCCGGGGCGATGCTGCCATGGTTTGCAGGGGTTTCGAAGCTCGCACTGCTGCAGTCATGCTGCGAATGGGAGTTGCAGAGTTCTTAGGCCTGCTTGGCTCAAGTTGGCGCTTGCAAGGGGAAGCCTTACCGGCCAAGCGTCCAAGATGGAGAGTGGACTGCGTGAATGCTTCAAGGGGGGCGGGGAAAGGCACTTGTGTCCCTCGGAAAGGCATTGAAGGAATGCAAAGAGGCAGCTTTGTGGCAACGCTCCCTGTTGCATCTTCAAGAATTCCGGAGGCTTCATGAACCGGATGCCGCAGCACTCGATGCAGCGACGATCGCTTGTAGCCGAAGAAACCGGTGGGATCTGGCTGTCTTCCTGTTGCGGCAGCGCTGGGAGATGGAGGGGCCGTCATGGAGGTCCGCTTTCAATCCTGGCTGTGGAGCAAGCATCAGTGCTTGCGCCCGTGCGGGACACTGGGACCTGGCATTGGCCTTGTTTGCGGAGGCCAGAGTCAGGCCAGGGGCGCTTAGAGCCGGAGTTGGCCGGGGCCGGAGTCAGGGGTCCACTTAGTCTTGTGAAGTGTCAAATCTTGTTTGGAGGCGACAGCCCATCTCCGACTGGAGCTGCAGTGCCGCTATTAGCGCCTGCATGAAAATCGCCTCCTGGAGCCGGGCCTTGCTCATCCTTCAGGAGGTGCCAGACGCTCACCGGGAAGGCCAGGCCCTACACTTTAAAACTTTAAGAGCTGCATGCAGCTGCCGTAACTTCAAGCAGGCACCTTCAGACCCCTCCTTTCCAGACCTGTGGAAGCGCCTGTTGCAAGGCTACAATGCAGCCGTTGCAGTCTGCGCCGAGGGTCGTCAGTGGCAGCGGGCCCTTCGCCTGTTGGAGGACATGCAGCGACTGTGCTTAAGGCCTGATGTCTTCACTTACAGCTCCGCTGTAGCCGCTTGCCGGTTTTCTTGGGAGATGGCTGGCTTGATCCTGGACGGGATGGATATCGCCCCGAACATTTTGACGTATTGCTCAGTCATGAGCTCTTACGTGAGAGCTTGGCAGTGGCAGCGAGCCCTTAGTGTTTTTGCCAGGCTTGCACGCATTCATCGCCCGAATGCGGTTGCCTACACTTGTGCATTTCAGGCTCTGGACCTAGCTGGCCCGGAATGGAAAGACGGGGCTTGGCAACTGGTGGACAGCATGCAGCACGACTACCGGCAGCCAGTCGATGTTGTGAGCTACAATGCTGCACAGCAGGTCCTGAACCACGCCGAGATTCCAATGGCCGAGCGCACTTTCCAGCGGGAGATCTTTGAACCCGCTGTGCTCGAGCTTGAGAAGCTAACAACCTTCGGCGTGTCCTCGCCAAATCCTGGCGTCAAGCCACCCGACATGGGATCCTTCTCTAGAGGAATGCTCGAGGCACTGCTGACGCAAGGAAGCCTTCTTAGAAGCGCCGGAAAAGTCGCTGCGGGGTCTTAGTTGGTAGATGCGGTAGATGATGCACGATGGTGGCCCAAGCAAGGATCCAAGCACACTTGTCAGGTGGACCTCAAGCAGCTCATCACATCGTGCGCAACTGAGACTCGAGGGCCTCCCCAGAGAAAGGGCCACTGTCCACTGCCTGGACCTGCTTTCAGGCGGCGAATTCTGAACCAGCTACAGCCGAAGGACAAGCAGGTTGAGTCGCTGCCCCAGCGACGCCGAAGCGCGATACTGTATGCGATGCCCACGACGCATCCGCCGGGCCGAGGCCGGAGACCAAGCAAGCTCTGGCCAAGGCCATGCTTCAAGCCATGAAGGACCACCCCTTCCTCGCGACGATACTTGCATGCGGTGCCTTCTGTTCAGGAGAAGGATGCCGTGAAGCTCGGACGTGTTTTGGATGCTGCAGCAGAGGCAGAGGTGAAGCTCCCAGGCCTGGAGGCACGCAACGACGCAGCGCCTTCAACGCCTACTCTACTTACTTGTAGGATTTGCGGTCTGGGCCCGTTCGATCTACCGCGCGCGCGCGCGTCGCAGGCGGCCCGAAGGAAGCTTGCAGAATGGAGGACGGCTTCACCAGAAGACTCGGAAGAGCGTTCTGGAAGGACACTCTGCGTTTCTGTGGGGCTTCTCTGGCCGTGCTGCTCCATTCGTGCCAGGACTGCAGAGGTGCGTTTGCGGATCATTCTGCCGGATGGAAGGCGGGGGTGAGTCTGTGCTGTTCTGAAGCCAAGAGGATCCTCAGCAAATTCGTTCTCAGCTCTCATCAGGAGAGGATGGCTTCCTGTTGATCCTGAAGACCACGGCAGCAAAGTGCTGAGCAGCTTGCCGCAGGACGGCAAGATCTCGTCTTGTTGGTGCGACTGGCTAAAGTAATTCCATGGAAGGAGCTGACGGCGAGTGGCGACATGCACTTCTTCCTTGGATTGGAGGCTCTTACTTGCAGTGTCTTATAGTGCCAGCAATACAGTCCAGAGCTTTCGGAAGGCGTCGCCGAAGGGTGCGGTGACTCTTCGCGAGGAGGTGGTCTTTTCCCTCGGCAGGCCGCAGCTGCAGGTCTCCGATCATCCTGTTGGCACAAGTCCGGCGATGCAGGAAGGTCGGTGACCAGCCGGAGTTCCTTGTCCAGGCTTCGGTCGTGTTGCAAGGTGGGCAGCTGATCTTTGAGCCACACCCTGGACGTGAAGGGAGCGGCGCTTTGTGTCTGTCCCGGTCGTCACAGGAGATCGCTCCGAAGTTGATTGGATGCAAGTTTCCCGTATTGTTCAACTCTGACAAAGTTGATTGGATGCAAGTTTCATGTGTTTTTCAAATCCCTGCTCTGCCAAGAGGAGCTCTTTCGAGTCCGGGGAGGCGCCCTGCCAAGCTTGAACAACTCGGCCCTCAGCAATGATGTCTTGCACGAGTGCCTCCTGTAGGACAGGCGGTCCGATCCCACCAGCCCACTTTGGCAGAGCGTGTGGAGCTCAATCGCGGATTCAACAGTATATCGAATTCTTTGGAATTCCATAAAGTGCAGTAGGCTGTATAGACACTGCAGAGAGAGCGAGAGAGGGGGACACCCAAACTGTAATGTACCCGGTGTTGGTGTCGAAACCTGCGCTCTCACACTCCTTCCAATAGGGGATTTGACAGATTCCGTATGGCCGATGGAAGAAAGAAGAGTGTACAAGGGTTCGCCCCTATAGGCCCCGCAATTGACAAAGATGCCAAAACGGCGCAAGCAAGCCATGGACGAGGGATGACAGGAGTTGCAGTTTTGTCACAGTGCTGCCACTGTTTGCAAATGCTTTCAGGTCATGAGAGCAGTGTCGGAGCCCTTTCCCACTTTCGCCAAGGCGGAAGGGCAGGCTGACATCATGATTGTCATGTAAGTGAGCCATCCAGTCGACCACAGGTCGAGAAGCTTCTGGAGGACACGAGCGGCTGGCCAGCTGTGGTCCTTGCGTGGGGCGGTCTCGAGGATGTGAGCGCACCTGGACTACAGATGGAGCATCCGATAACATTGGTTCTTGTAGCACTCTGCCTGACGTTCTAGACACGTGAGCCAAGGTAGCCGAGAGAAGTCCTGAGGCTCCGACTCCTCACGACGACGAGTTGCCGTTTGAGCTGTGCTGATGGTGTACTCTGCTGCAGGCCGCGCAGGCCGTGGGCGCATGTCGTGCGATCTTTACAGGAAAGGCTGGGCCTGCAGCCGGCGCATTCTGAGCTGTGCTTTTTGCAGTGGTGGCGCTGTGTGTGCAGGTGGAGACGGCAGTGCTGCCGTCTTTGAGTGTGCCGACGACCTCCGTTATCGTAGACGATACCAGGGCAAGCAGCCTCTCGGCTTGTTTGCCGACTGTCTGCATGCTGCATCGTACGTGGCAAGCAAAGGCACGGACATCGCGCGCATCCTTGGAGAGATAGAGGCAGCACCAGCCTAGCTCTGGAAAGCAATGATTCGGGTTTTCAAGGGTATTACACACATGTGCATGCATTCGAGAACGCACCTTTTGCCGCAACATGCCAGAACCATGCTTAGGCAGGAGTATGTCAGAAGCATGTCAACATGGCGGCACGCCATGCCTCCACGTACTCAATGCAGCAGGCCGGTGGAGTACAACGTCCGTTGTTGCTGGTCGTGGTGTGCCGTCCGCTCGCTCAGATGTCAGCATGCAAAATCTTCTCACACAGGACATGTGCAATCTCAGGTGCCTTCCTGAGCAGGAGTCTTCTGCAAAGCTTGCGGCAGCACCTGCCACAGGCATCTTTGCCCAAGCCTGCGAAGTCGCCTGGAATCATGCATTTTGCAGATTCCTACAGTTCTCCAGGATGTCATGCTCTTCCCGTGCCCTCCTGCCACCTTGATGCGCGCCTGCATGGAGGAGGCAATCGTCGCGTCGCCGCGACTTTCATGGGGCTGGCGTTTCGTAGCAGGTGCCGGTCTTCGAGTCCCAGATCCTGGAAGAGGCCTCGAGGCTGCGGTCCGAGGCGGCTTCGGGGGGAGGAGAGGAGAGCGCTTCCGTCTTCCGTCTTCGGGTCTCCAGGGTCCCGGCCCTGTTTGCAGGGCGTGGTCCGACTTACCGAGAGGTGCCAGGCCGCGTTGGCCAGGCCGCAGCTCCGCTTGCACCGTACCTGAACCTTAAGGCATCCAACTTGACTCAGCGCACGACCAGGTTGCAGGCGTCGCCCGAAGTTGCGGTTGGAAATGCGGAGAAAAAGCGCCGTGTTCGACGGTCCTACCTTTCTGCGCCCTAGGTAAGAGAATCAGCACGGGGCCAACACATGGCAGAGAGTTTCAGAGACTCTGTGAGGTTGTGCTCACTCGCATTGACAGAGTGGAGGACCCGACTCGCATGAGAGGACTCTGAGAAAGTCGCTGTCTTTCAGGAGAGCATCACCAAAGCCGGAGGTCAAGGGGCCTCCATGGCCGACCGAGAGATGAAACTTCGACAGGCGCTGGCATGGCCCGGTAAACACTGACATTCGGATGAGATTCAGTTATTAGCCGCATTAGCCCAAGACATCCCCAAGCTTTTCCGGTGCCCAAACTAGCCCGAAAAGTTGAAATGGACAATCGGAAAGTCTAACATAGTTTTTAATTTTGCACGAATCTCGCTTGCCTTGGTGATTGTCCCCTCTCTCTGGTATTGCTAGGCGGTTCGTTGCCGAACCAGCAGGTAATTCACAGTCGGTTTTGTTTCTCTTCCGTCCTTGTGTCCGGTATCTGTTCATTGAGGGGCATGCCTCACATCAACCCAAGCTTCGCGCTCAAAGAGATATCCAACAACAGCTCAGAAAGCAGACGGGAACATGTTGCTGGATGCGCAGGTTCTCGATAAAAAGATCGAGGATGTTTGCATGAAGCTCGACGTGCCACGAACTGCAGCCCGCCTCTTAGTGACACAGGTTTGAGCTACGTCCTGCCATGGGCGCATGCAAAGGCTGATAGGATGCAATCAAAGGTGCACTTCATTGAGAATTATCATAGCGGCGTAATTGGCCTGGAGCAGGAGGCCAGATCAAGGCATTCTGCAAGAATGAAGACTTGCATCTCGCCAGGTGCGCAATATCTCTGTGGACTTCCATGCCCTCAAGATTCTTTCCCAGCCTGCGGCCTAGTCTGGCGCAGACTGCTTCGCAGCTGTGCTCCGTGCAGAGATATCTCAGGTGTTGCAGCCATGCGGATGCTTTTATCGCGCAGGCTCTGCGCGACATCAGGCCGCACCAGTTGGCATTGCACATTACTGTCGTCTGGACCATGCTCGCAGGGCCCCAGCATGTGCGATTCAATGAGCCGTCTTCCATACGCTCGCAGCCTCGTGTGCGGGAGCGTGTTGTTGTTTGGGCACACCCGTAGCATTAGGACTCCTGCACAAGCACCTGCTTCCAGGAAGACCTGGAAATGTACATAGGCAATGCCCGTGACGAAAACAGTCTGCAAAGCTGCAAGCAGCTGTGCTGCAGACAAGACACTGACACAGGTAGAGACCACGAGAAACAGTCTGCAAAAGAAGATGTCGCAGAAGACACGCTGCAGACAAGACATGGGTAGCGAGTGCGAGCAGTACCAAAACAGAATGCGACGGAAGACGGCCAAAGAGACACAGTGCAAAGGTCAGATATGGGGCAGAAGGAACCGGAAACAGTCTGCAGACCACACTGACACTGCAATCCAGGGGCACGGCTCTAATCAAGATGGGGGTTAGCATCAGTACAGGGGTCTGCAATCAGGTAAGAGAGCAGCAGAAACCATTCTGCACAATGCAGTCCACAAGAAAGATAGCTCAGACAGAATCTACAGGCCCCAATGCCAGATGGTAGACAGTGCCAGGAACAAGTATGCGAAAAAGACAGCCAGGACGTTTATGCAAATGACATGCCAAGAATGCAGGCTGCGATATTCAGCATCAGCAGCAGTGGCAACAGAGAATCAAGGTATGCAGCAACCCGTCACAACTCTACCGCGCTTCATCTTGGCTCTGGGACTTTTGGGGGTTTGACGATGGAGGTGAGGAATCCCTCAGCTCTATCAGAAAGGCAGAGTGACCACCCGGGGTAGGGACAGCATGTCAGCACATCATGTTGAGCTCTTGCTGGCGGCTGGCTCACTTTCTCATGCAGCACAGTTTGATTGGCAGGAACAGAGCAATAGAGGCAGCTTCGTAAGCACGCATCGCTGACAGTCCGCACGAGAGCAAGCTCGAAAAGATGCGCGCCGCTGCGATGACTGAACCCGGCACCTTCGAACCCGAGCTTGCGAACACGGCTTGCGAGCTGAGCGCTTTCCGAGATGCACCTTGGCAGATGTCGTGTGCCGCGTGTCTTCACACCGGGGGGCTGTGGAGACGGGGCTTTCGGCGATGAAAGGTTCGGGCCGGGGAAGCACCCACGAAGAAGCGAGGTCTCATACGCGGCTGAAGAGTGGGGGCCGGAGCGAACAGCGAAACCTCTGTCTTGAGCTGCAGAAGAAGACAGCAAGCAATAGGAAGTTAGTCGTTGAAGGCGAAAGAGGTTAACAGGAGTCAGAGCAGGTCAACAGAAGTTAAAAAGTTGTAATGGAGGCATGGTGTTCTTGAGGCGTTAGGAGGGTGGATTTCGAGTGTTTTGCACCCTTTCACTTGCGACATGCACGTTTGCAATGGCACTGAGTGAGAGCGGCACGGCAACGGAAGCTGCTTCAAGTTGATACAGGGTTTTTATGGTACAGCGACGTGCTCAGACAGGGCTTGAACTGTGGGTAGGTTGCAGGCAGCGGTGACTGATCACCCGACTTGATCCCCTTGAAAGGGTATTCAACAAGAGGCCTTCTCCTTCACAGGGTTGCTGAGGCTGCCGAAGCCTTTTCTGGGTGCCGCTCAGGGCGTTTTGATTGTATGAGTCATTCGAGTTAAACGCCCTTTGATGCCGCTCACCTCGTCGATGTTGCAATTTCTCCCGAAGCCCACACAGCAGGTAGACGTAGGTCGACCAAACTAGGGCTTGATCCGACTGTCCGAACCCAGGAACTCCGCCGCTTCGCCACACGTCGTAAGACAGAGGCTCAGAGCTCAACCTTTTCAGGCCGGATCGGAATGCTCTCATATGCTCTCCTGTCCTCCTCCGTGTTCTGATCTCTCCTCCGGCTTAGCCTCGTAGCTTCGCTCGCAGGTGATTCTGCCGGTGGACGACGGCCTGCCGAGCCAAACGGAGATGTCTTCCAAGAGCTCCAGCTAAGCCGCAGCGGCCCTGTGCCACTGGGGGAACTGGACTTGCCTTTGATGGATCCCCCGAGCTTGCCCCATGGACTTGCAGCACAGCTTAGGGTGGCAGCGGCGGAATGTGAGGCCAAAGAGCCCATGTCGATGTCCAGGCAAACCGTCGATGCGAATGCGACCCAAGCTTGCTCTGCCGTGGAAGTCTTCGTGGACAGTGGCGGCTCCACTTCTCTGCCTCAATACTGCGCGGAAGATCACGGGCTTTGCGTGGCCGCAGCCGCTGTCCGAAAGAAGGAGGTGACCGAGGCCGAATTGGCCCAGGTGGCCGAGGTGAGGAGACTGCGAAACGAGTTGGCAGCGGCGGAGATGCGCTCACTGCAGATGGAGGGTCGCCAGGACGAGCTGCTCGCAGAGCTGAAGGCGTTTCAGCTCGAGATCCGCCAGGAGAGGCCTCTTTTCATCATCCAACTTTGCCGGCAGAGGCTTTGCAGGGTGTAGACAGCTTTTTTCAATGTGACATCTGGCGGCGCAAGGGTTTTCTTCAGCGATAAACTTCAGGGTCGTAGAGTTTGGACGTGTTTCGGCATTGACATCATCGATGGTGCGTTCATGTTCCTGCTTTTTCTGATGGTATCCAGTCCAACAGTAGCCGGCAGCTCGG